ATTGAGAATCATGACTCAACACTTCCAAAAAGATTCGAACCTCAACATTGCGTCTAGAAGGAAAGAAAAAGGCCACTGTCTGAAGGGAGCGCCCACGAACGACAAATCTATTGTTCAACTTCCCTTTGATCATAGATTTTCTGAAATCCTTCCAACGACGAAGTCACAAGCAATCGAAATGCCCTTAAAGTAATCGTTGTTGCACTCGATGCCGACTGAAATAAAGGAGAAGTGAAATGAGGCGAGGTCTGTGCCTAAGCTCAACTCATTCCATTTGAGCAACAACAGCTGGAAAGAAGGAAGAGACAAGACCCTCAGGTAGTTCCTAAAGCTCTATGTACAAAGTGTTCTTTCTATGCTGTCCTTGTCCCATTTTTGTTGAAGTTTTACTAGAGAGGGAGAGAGGGAACAGATAGACAGCCAGGCAGACAAACAGACAGGAGGGCAGGCAGACATACGGACAGAGAGACAGACAGACGGACAGGTGGTCAGAAAAGCAGTCAGACAGACGGACAAAAATAGAGAAGGACTTCCAGAGAGAGAAGGACAGAGACATTGATAAAAACAAAGACAAAGAAAGAGACAGACAGACAGACAGACAGACAGACAGACAGACAGACAGACAGACAGACAGAACTGAGCAAAGGCGACAGGAGGAGAAAAAGAGAGAGGGGGGGGCTTTATACTTTGGTAAATTTATCATTTGTCTGTGCCTTTAAATTGCTATGTGACTGTACTTAGTATTCTATCACCGTTGTGCGAATGTCTATCCAATAAAAAGAATCAAGTCCAACAGTTTAAATATCTAGGATATATGATAACATGTGATGCCAAATGTTCCACAGAATTAAAACGGAGAAGCAATGGCTAACGCTAGTTTCAATCAAATGAGCCCAATTCTGAAAAACAAGAAACATCTCAATGGCTACCAAAACGAAAATTTTGAAATGCCATATGGTCAACCCTTCTATATTATGCTGCTGGACAATCACTAAAGGCAGTGAAAATAAAAATGGAAGCAACAACAGCTGGAAAGATAAGAGTATCGTGGGAGGAAAAGAAATCAAATGAGGTAGTGCTTGATGAAGCCCACGTGGGACACCCACTGTTAAAAACAATCAGGAAACCAGAAATGCAGTTTTTGGGACACCTGAATAGACATAAGGGTCTTGAACATCCAGCTCTCACTGGCGAAATTGAAGGCAAACGAGGCAGGGGTAGGCCTAAATAAATGGGTGACAAGGAAAAAATCAGGGAAACGTGGCTTTTTTTTTTTAAGAGCATCCGTGCAAAGGAATGAATGTAGTACCATGATCACCGATGTCTGTCGCAGATCTGGTACTGGATGATGATGATCCAAGAATATCATAGTTTACGCGGGTGCTACGCTACTTCCGAGCGCAACCTGTCGGACTAAGGTAAAGATGATTCCAGTTCGAATCCCAAACTATGCTTTCTTGAATTTGACTGGTTTGGGGAATTTTCCCATCCTTCCCCTCGCTTGGTTTTCAGGATTGAAAAAGCCATTGAGAGAGGAAAAAATAGAGAAAATAACGTTTTATTTGTCCTTATGGAGATTCCGTTAACCGTGATAAACATAATAATATAAACACTCGAATGATGCAACATGACTCGATACAAACCACCTTGTGTCAAATACACGAAAGGCAATATAAATTGTTACGTTATATTTGTTATGCTCACCTGTCCAGCTCCCTCTCCTTTTCTTTTTTCAATCTAACACGCTCCCAAACCCTCTTTCCCCCTCTCTCTTTCTCTCTCTTTCTCTCTCTCTCTCTCTCTTTCTCTCTCTCTCTCTC